TACTCGAAAAATTAAAGGAGAGAATTGAATGGTTTGCACGTTTACAGCCAGCCAAACAGAAGTCCTTACAGACGAAGGTCATGGATATTTTTTACGAACTTACAACAAGTTACCCCCTGAAAGAAATACATTGCCAGATTGGAAGTGTCATTTTGTTGTTTTACTTTAAAAATGAAGACGGACATACGAGATTCATGGAAGATATGAAGAAAGAAAAAGTATACCAAATATAAATGAACCTATTTTTAGATCAAGAGCTTCTTGCAACAGTCGGTTTGGTAAAAGAAGACCTGAACGTTTCCTTATCATGCAAAAGCAATGAAGGTAGGTCAAGATAAACATAGCCTAAAACTTTAATCATATTTATGGTCAGGGATGGGTCTGAATAGTACTGAGGCATTTTGAATGGTAAATATTCCGTTCATAAACTTTGCCATTATTTGATTTAAATCGTTTATCACATACTTCGTTGAGGAATAACATTGTTACAACATATTAGGCGAGCAATGTATATAAAACGAACAGTAATCAAGCTCAAAATCCACTGGAACAATACAAACTGGAAACAGAGCAAATAGGAACCTCTAAAATTATAAGAGGTGAGATCAGGTGTCATAGTGGACTAAGCATCAGTAGATCAAACGGAAAATCCGTCGGCAATTCAGAGTGAAAATAATGGTCTAAGACTTTTTTTATGAAAAACGTCAGTCAACGTTGACTTAAATATAAGGGAAGCTAACGATAGGAAAGTTGAAGTCATTATGTTAACTCTAAGTTTTGTTTTGTTGGTAGTGATTAATGCCTTTTTTCTAGTAAATATCCAAATATGAAACTGATGAGTCGTATAAAGTGTTGCAAAGTCGTACGTCTTGATGATACTGATTTTGGATTTATGTTTTCAAATTCTCTTAAAGTTCCTTAGAGATTTTAAGAATCCACCTCTGATTACCACCACTTCTCTAATATGTTGTTGTACAGTACTCCTGAAGTTTCTCCTGAACCGCAGGTAATATATATAGCTCAGTTTTTTGAAGTTCATTTTCAGAAAATTCTGGCCGATTTTACTTCCGCAGATTTTGCAATTTCTCACCGGCTTTCTTGTACAAGTGTGCTGAAATAAGATATTCACCAAGGAATTTCTTCTCAAACAGTGCGCAATAAAGCAGAACCTAGTGTATTGTTGAATTGTCACGGTTTCCGAGCGTCAGGATTTGAAAGCATCTTTGCCCTTTATTACCTTTATATATATATATATATATATATATATATATATATATATATATATATATATATATATATATATATTTGGTTTAAGCAGAAACAGGTTAAAAGTTTTAGAAAAAAACATTTTAAAATTATACACAAGTATATTGAAAAAAAGATAACGAACAATGATCGATCTCAAAAATCCTTCAAACAATATATCTTTGTGTACAGGATGTAAAACACGAACCCGGAGACATTCCAGAGACTGAATTCAATTTTGAATAATTATTTAAAAATCTTATTTAATTATCTACAAAAGTGTATCTTTTAAAAATTGAACAGTGTTTATAAATGAAATTTATTAAACAGGAAGTTCTTATAATCTGTTTCTTTTAAAAACATGCACCATGAAAAATGTGTTTCCATATCTTTCTGGAAGATTTTCATGATTTGAAAAATGAAGGGAGTTAAAAATCACAATCTACTTTATCTCCACTTTTCTGATAATTTATGGGGAAGATTCTAACTCATTTGTGACTATTTTTCCAAATTAGCCAAATACGCTGGTACAAAAAATGTTTAATATCTACTAAGATGTCAAACCTTTGTTTACCCTAATTGGCTATTGTCATTGCGCACAGCGGATCTTACCACGAACAATCGTCCAATCATTGAATGAATAGCAAATCAAGTATAAACGTGGTATATGTCAATGAAATATGGAGATAATGAATAGTATTTAAGCTCAAAGTCCATTTAAACAATACAAAACAATAAAAATTGGGAGCAGAGCAGACATGGACCTCCCTAAACATCAGAGGTGGGATCAGGTGCCATGGAAGAGTGAGCATCCCCTGCCAACCGGTCACACCCGCCGTGTGCTCCTTGTCAAGATCGGGAAATAATGGGAAAATCCGTCGACAATTCAGTGTGTAAATAAAGGCATAACAATTAGTATGAAAAAACATCAGTCGGCATTTTACTAAACGATAGAATGGACTTTTTTTTTGCAGACAAGGTCATTGTATCGACCATAGAACTTACGAAATTATTACTTAAAACGCGACTGTTGATATTCTTTTTTCATCAATGTAATTATTATTGTAAATAACATACCTTGTTTTTAAAATTGTTCATGCGTAGAGCATGCTTTTGCGTATCGAATCAACTGAGAGATACACACTCCATATGGGTATATTGCTGCATAGGTGTTAAAGTCATCATGTTTATCATAAAGCTTGGTTGTTAAATTACCATTAACGTCATTTTCTAGTAGAATATCCAAATATACAACAGATGTCGTCAGATTCTGTGGTATCTTTTATTTCAAGATGACTGGGATATATCGTTTCGACATATGAATGGAAATAACTATTGTTAATATCTAAATGGCCACAGCAAGATATTTCTTTTTCTCATGATTTTGCTAACAACACTTCGCAATTGGTACCCATGGAAATTCCAACAGATTGTTGGAAGACCTAGTCTCCAAAAACCACACATTAAAATACGATGCACATTTAAGTCAGGGATCTATATACTAACGTTAGTACATAACAGGGGAAGGTCCCTGATTAATGGACTGCAAAAAATCAAATTTCAGAGAAATTGTTTTTATAAGGAAAAAATACAAAGATTAGAAACTAAGAAAGATGTTATGGGCGTTTGTATAATTTTTTGATACGTAATTGAGAAGAAAAATGTACATAATAAAAGGTGTCACATTCAGAATGTTTTGCAAAGAACACCAGCACTTTAAGGATAAGGAGAACGAGCAGTACCTCTTAGACATTTTAATGACCAACAATGTTTAAATTTTTACATTACATGTGAACACGTGTCATTTGTTTGTATTCACCGTTAGTACAACAAAGGACTAAAAACCTAGAATTTCACGTTTATTTAACAAATGATTTGCTTGTAAATGTGAGAAAACAAATAATAGATAATAAATGAATTATTGTTTTCCATCTATGAAATGCATGAAAAATGTTCATTGTGCTTTTTCCGATCGCGTTAGATTTGGTTTTTCCTGTTGTATTCGAAGTAACCCATAATGCAATTGAACTCATTCAGCTGATTTGTGGGTTTTAAGATAGGTTGGTACCTTGTTAAGCAAGTAATTTTAGTCTGGTCTGACACCGATAAAATATAGTTCCTATGCAAGCATGTTCGTCCAAAAGAAATTTAAATACATAAATGCAGTAAATAATGTCATGAAAAATACCTAAACAAGTTTAAATGAATTCTATAGAGATTGGATTACATTTCTACTGATATTATACAGTGGTGAAAACTGAAACGTAACATTACTTTTCTATTTACCATGCATGTTCCCACGTGCTAGTTACTTCCTGCTACATTTCCGTGAATAATTTATCTTACCTGTTAACAGTCTCGCGGTCTCTAACTAAATCTCACCATAGGTACTGCAAACTCCTCGGGTATTAAAATTTGCAGAAGACCGAAAAATGAAAATGTCCCGAACATATTAGTAGGGGTGCACAATATGCATCATTAGCAAATATTTAAAGCTTTAAAGGTATGTAAGCGTATCATTAGCATACTCTTTACACTGTATTTGTTCAATCAACATACATTCAATTACCCAAGGTGTGAGAAAATGATAAACTTGGTTATTCAGTACAAATACTGTTAAAGCATACAAGGACATGAAGCTTGATTAATGACCCACTCAAGACTGTAATAAAATCTGACCAATCAGCATAAAAACACAGGACAGTACCTGTTTAAGATACCCCATAAACCTTTGATCGATCGATCATATACACATACATGGTAAGCTCTTTGGGAAATTGTTCACAAAATTTTTGAGGCATATCTTGTGAAGATAAAAAACGCTTACGTTTCGAGATATTTCTTTAAAAAAACTATTATTCTTTGATTATAAATTGATATATAACTTTTTTCATATGAGGTAATGCAACATGGAATTCGGGCACTACAAACACACATCGGACCCGTTTACATTATAATGACATATGTATCTACAACTCTGTTAATGCTTACTATCAAGACCGCATAAATTTATGAATGTAAATTCTGAGCAGGGCAATTATGATCTACTAAATACGAAAATTTATTTCGATGCAAAACGTAATAGTCAGTACTAAGTCAATAAGTCAAGGCATAAAACTATCTACCATACCATAAACATACTAATTATTGCATATTTTAGAATTGATAAAGTGTTTGAGGAGAGATGCTATTATAGTGACCACCAGCCCAGACCCTGGCGACCGCCGCAGGCTTGCCAAACTTGGAATAGTAATAAATGGTGAATTAACACAGATTTACAGAGACATTTTGGAAATTAATGTCCCTTCTTCTGTTGTATTAAACATAGTGAAATCGTCTCCAATTTTCCGAAATCTCACTTCTGATCAAAAACATCTTTTATTGAATGCAAATACTTGTGGATACAAGGATTTTAACTTAACACTGTTGTACAAATTGATAAGAAACATTTGTTCAAAGATTCCTCAACCAACAGAAGGCTGGAGTGGAAGTGATATGCCTTTAAAGGAAGATATAAATATAGGAGATGATATAAAGAGGATCATGTTAATTCGGAACAATATATACGGCCAAATGAGTTCAACTTTCATCTTAGAAAATACATTGAATGACACGTGGTCAGTCATAACTGATGTGTGCCAAAGATTACAAATTTACACTGGAAAGAACTATATAGATGGTCTTAATAGCATTGAAAACCAGTCGTATTTGGATGAAGAAGATGATGAGGAGGATGCTGTTATAGAAAAAAAATTATGGCTGAATATGAAAAGGAAGGAACGATTGCACAAACACCATCCACGATAGAGTCTAGATTACAAGAAATGAATACAACGTTGGATTCGACACTGCAAGGTAAGTGTTTATAAAATTTTGAGCTTTAAAATCCGAATTATTTTTTTCATGGACGCCGCGATTGTCTTGAGTACGCAGTCCCGGTGTGACAGATAAATAACTAGAATTTTTCATTAATGTATATAATGGCAAAAGACTGTACTTATTTACATATATATTGAAAGAAAAATTTATTTTCAGCGGAATTGACTTCCGACGAAAAGTCACAGCCACAGATGAGAGTTTCTGATGCAAAAGAATCCTTGGAATTAACAAATGCACAGTTTGCATGTGAAACAAAGGTTAACACAAACATCCAAACTACCTCAGTAAGCTAATTTTCACTTTGGATTTCTGATATTTACTTTAAATGTGTCGAATTTATATCCAACCTACAAGTTAAGCTAGACAGAAACTTTAAACTGAGTTAAACCAAGTTCAAAAATATTGCTTTTCTTTCATTAAATCATTTCTTTATCTATTTTTTTTCCTTCTCTTTCTTTTTTATTTTAATTTTTAGAAGGTCCTATGCCTAGTCGCTAATTGAAAGAAATATTAAAGTTTTGAATATAGTCTAATGATATTTAATATATGTGGCAGAGAATTAAATTACATATTTCTTTAGTAACCGAATATAAACTTCAGCTAGAAGTGATTCCCGATTCATTTATGCACATAAATTATACTAATGGGAGTGCAATGTAAAGCCTAAATAGGAATGGTTTAATTCATAATTCTAATCTACAAAACACGTCATGTGAAATCAAGTTGTTGGTGAACATATTTAAAATCAATACAGGCTTCTTTCAAGAACTTCTATTTAAGAGACATAACATTGTGTTAACGTCGTTTTATTTCTGCATTGTTTTGTCTTCAACGCAGTTGTCAGTCGACAAGTTAACTTGAAGTAAAAATAATTTTTTTGCAATGCAGCTTTCTTGAGTACGAAAGCCCAGAAGGCTCATTCGAGATTCGAGTTTCGAAATACGAGATTCAAGATCCAAACTAACCAATCAAAAGGCGGATACAATATTTGATTACTTCCCTTTATTAAGTTTTGCCTATCAAGAAATAAATATATTTATAACAAATCATTTGCTTAAATAATGATGCAAGAAAAAATATTATATGTATCAAAACAAAATAAAAATGAATTTTGGGTAACGTTTTGAAATATATATATATATATATATATATATATATATATATATATATATATATATATATATATATATATATATATATATATATATATATATATATATATATATATATATATATATATATAATCTTATTTTCCTCATTAAACAAAACAATTGATACATCTATAGAATATTATATGGTCTTATAGTTGAATTGCGAAATTAGTAGATCGATAAATTATTTAATTAGCACATGGATGAGGGAGAAAATTATTATTGATATGAAATACTAAGTACCGTCTTTACAGTGCACAATAATTTAATTAAGGATACATTTCATTACTTTTAAAGGTGCATTTGTGCAGTTAGTTTATTAAAAATCATTTAAACATATTTTTATGATACAGAAATTAAAATCTTCATGACCACTCTTAATAAAATTGAGAAATTTTAATATCCTGACACAGTACTTGGAAATTATTTACTTAATAATCTAAATATAATTTTTAAAATGTTTATGTTTGACTTCCTACTAACACAAACATATTTCCTAATTTCTATTCCCTGTCCTAATCGTAGCCTTCTGTTGCTATCATTTTTTAATAGTCTGATATCGACTTCAAGGTAACATTTCAATTTTAGATTTAACCATCTGTTAAAATCAAAAGTTGTGTATAGTGTAAAAATTGGATAGGCATAAAAGTGTGGATTGCTGAAAATACTTTTATTGCATTTGATAAAAAATATTCTAATAACTGGTAAATAAATAAGATTTATGATCAACTTTACCCCATTTTTCAACCAAATACATGTATAAATATTTTTTTTACATCAAAAAAATGATGTATAGGCTACAGCCTTTTCGCCTATATGAAATATACACCATTGGGAAAGCGAACGCGATTTTTCTTTATCACTACTACGAAGTCTTCAAGATTCCCAGTGTACACTAAAAGGCATACATGAACTAAGTAATTTTAATATGTACTGATTTAGGCTACACGATTTTTTCAAAGTCCTAAAGGTGTATAGAGGGTCCATTGTTTTGTTAAAAAAAATTAATTTTTTTTATCATTATCAAATACTTTTATATCTTTTTTTCTCTATGGCCATTACATCATGTATTGAAACTTGTGTATTGATTGGTTATGTATCTTGCGAGACCCGAGCGGTTTCCTTATAAATAATTATCGAATATATAATTATTTTACCCATGCATTGCAAGATTGACACTGAATGTTGATAACGGAACATTTGTCCACCGTTGTATTAAATAAACAACATAGCCATAGGACCCTGGACACTTGTCTCTACCCCCCCCCCCCCCACACACACACACACACATTCCCCTTACATTTATTACCGATATAATATAATATAGAAAACATAGCAACTTTATGCTTATGTCCTTTCAAAAATAACGTCTAATAACCGTGATAACCCCCTGTTGCTAATTTTTTGGAGGGGGCTTTACAGTGATTTTTAAGATTATTTCTTACGGGTTTGAACAAAGAGAAGTCATTTCCTTTATTAAGCATGTATATTTCAGCCATCCGTACTTAAGGGGCCGTCTCTTGGTTTCACAAACTTGGTCACTGGTCACTTTCTAGTACCTTGTCACAAACTATATCCACTTTGAAACCCGTATTACAAATTATTATTGATCGATAGTCACTTGTTTTATTGCACACTTAACTTTGAAACCCGTATTAGTCACTGGTCACTTTCTAACACCTTGTCACAAAATATATCCACTTTGAAACCCGTATTACTATTTATTATTTAATAATTACTAGTCACTTCTTTTATTGCACACTAATAATTCTCATCGACTACAATATGCTCCCGCCCCCCTCCCCCCTTTGCTCTTTGATTTCGATTAACAATATTTATTATTTTGACATCAAACCTGTAAACAAAGTACATAATACGGTATAGATATTCTTGATATAAATCTATTATAATATTTAAGAAGTTATAATAAATTTAAGCATATTTTGCAGACCAAAAACAGAATATTTTTTTCTAATTTCGTTCTGATTTCGTATAACACTCTTTCTTGCATTGTAATATAATCAAATGACCTCTTCGGTTTGAATATATTCAACGATTTCTAGAAGGTCAAAACTTAGCAAAGGGGAGTAATGGAATTTTAAACCGCCTTTTGATTGGTTAGTTTGGATCTTGAATCTCGAAGCTCGAATTTCGAATCTCGTATTTCGAAACTCGAATCTCGAATGAGCTTTCTGGGTTTTCGTACTTAAAGCCTTAAATTACGTGCAAAACATACATGTACATTTCCAGCTCGGTGTCTATTTTAATATTTAGAGTATTGACATAAATAAAGAAAATTTGCATATAGTGATATCTCAACTACATATATAAACATTGGTTGCGATATCAAATGACATAGTTGATCAAGTGTTCCACACAACTGCTTCGGAGCAGGTGATTGCCGTTATTATTATTTACATTTTAATAGGTCACCTGAGTCACCTAGGTGACCAATTGCTATCTGGTTATGTCTGTCTTCTTTCGTCGTTTGTCATCCGTCTGTCGAAAACTATTGCACATGTTCAGCTTCTTTTAAGAAACAGCTGAATCAATTTCATCTAATCTGAGTGTAGAGCAGCTATGGACAAAAGGGGGAAAATTGTGAATTTCATGATCCCTGTCCTCTAGAACCTGAAAGGCTGGGCCAAAACCATCAAAATTCATGAAATTTTCAAAAATCTTCTTTACTCCTAGACAACAAGCAGTAAAACTGTTGGCCTGATTACAACAAGCAATGAGCCCTTTATATAAATTGTGAAATTCATGGCCTCTTGGTCAGGAGTTCCGGAGTAAGGGTGGTGCTGCATTGATCATATATGAAAATGCATTGATTCTTTGAAAATCTTTTTCACTACCCCTGTATAATAAGCTCACAAACTGAGTACATATGTTCATGATGAGTAAGAGTACCTCTTCCAAAAATGGTGACATTCACGGCCTCCTGGCCAAGGATTCTGGTGTTAGGATGGGGATCTATTGATTATAAAGAGAAAAAATGCGTCAATTATTTGAAAATCTTCTCTGCTCCTAGGTACTTAGAAAGCAAAGGAAGTGCATGATAATGATGAGCAAGGATGCCTCCTCCAAAATTGTCAAAATTTATGGCCCCTGTGTCAGGGGGTGATGTATTAATGCTTTGAAAATCTTTTTTTCTAATCCTCCAAGGTATTCAGAAGATAAAACACTTCCTTTAAGCTTGGTTTATAGGTGCTTATTGATATCTTTATCGTCGTCTTTAAGTCTAAAGGCCGAGGTTTTCAACCGATCAGTTTTTCTCAGGTAAATGTTGTGAAACGGCTGTGAAGCCACGAGGGAACCTCGCTAACTTGTATATATCTACCTATATACACAGAATGTTACCTTTTTTTATCTGTGTACGTTTTCCTACGACATAGTCGAATAATGCCATTGTTTTCCTTGTGTAGATCAATCAAAATGTTGATCGTCAAATTTAAGAAATAAAGCGTGATATATTTCTTTCGGGGATAGATTCCTAGTTCAGGTTTTTTTTTTTTTTTTTTTTTTTTTTTTTTTTTTTGAAATATGTTTGAATAAATTAAACAATTTCAATGTAATTGTGTGTTTGTGAATTAATTTCAATGAATATTGGACCATAATCTTCTGTCTTTGTAAGCTGGCGACACAAAGGGAAGTAATTCAAATGCAGGCCTTTGCATGAAAGTAGAATAGGGGTCTTGAAGAAAACTCTCAGTAAATAGTGACCGGGGGTCATCGAAAAATGACCCCAGCCGTAAAAAATGTAATTTTAGTAGAAAAAGAACCATAGGAATCAGTTTTTCTATAAAGAGAAGTCCATGCCCAGCTAACAAGTAAATAAACTATATGACAAACAGGGTGTCCTCCGATTAGGGTTTTTCATCGCCAACTTGTTAAAGTAGCTTGTTCTGTATTTATGCAGTAATATTCCATTATCGCCTGTATACATTCTTTTGTCTCCCAACGTATTCAAAACGCTTGGACACGCTTTCAGTATGATCAACTTTAGACCAGTTTTCAAATTTGAATATTAATTCTAATACGATAAGCATAGAATGTCAGGTAATTAAATTAAAAAAAATTTATAAAACGTTTCCAATCATAAGTAAATATAAATACGTCACTGATATTTTGTTTCGTAATTCGGATAAGAATTAATAAGCAACACTTTCTTACGCATGTTTAGACATGGTGACAAAGGTTAGGATAAACCTAATGAGTATTTAAAAAAAAACTAACACGGCTCTATTTCCATAAAATAGATGGGATCTCGAAAAGGAATGTTTGATTCGGTACCTATTTTGCCTGTACACATTACTGAGGTTTTTTTTTCTACACAACATTTCTTGCCAGTAGGATATGATACTGGAGTGCTTTTTTGAATTAACACATATACTTACATCTAAAACGCTCTCATTTTTAATACGTGAACTATATATTATTAAATTTTTGAAATGATTATGAATATTTTCAACTCTCTAGAAGCAAGCGTCTTTCTCAATTTTTTCTTGTTTGCTATTTATAGGGTCACGCGATTTTTCATACAAACGGGAAGTAACTCTAAATATGGCAGTAATTGGAGTTCAACAAATACTTTCGATCATAGTTTTTTTTAAAATAAATGGGAATGTTTTGAAACACATATAAACAAAAATCGATAAAAATTATTGAAATGAATTTTATTTACAGCATTTTACTTCTAATTCAAAATTGTCTCGAAATCCTTAACACGGGCAAGGGTCGATTTTTTTTTTTTTTTTTGTATTTTATTTTGTATTAAATCAGTTCCTGTGTAAAAGTAATAGGAGACAAATGACCACAGGTAGACTCCTAGCCCTCAAAGTTAATATTCAATCTCCAAGTATATGTAACGAGAAAAAGAATATTTATAAAGAAGATTTATCAGATATCTCAATATCAGATATCTCAGGAAATAAGATATCTTGATATACCATAGTGATGTACACCATTCCTGGACAAATTTTGACATAAAAAAACCTTTTTCTCCCTACAGTACTGCGAGTATCAACTCGACAACTTGTCTAGTTATTTATCTGCCATACACTTTATCTATCCTTCTGCCTGTCTCTACGTGTGTCAATCTCTCTCTCTCTCTCTCTCTCTCTCTCTCTCTCTCTCTCTCTCTCTCTCTCTCTCTCTCTCTGTGTAAATATTTTCAATAAAATGGTTCAGCGATAAAATGTTCAAATGTTCATAGTACTAATGTCGCCGACGACTGTAAATTTTGTCGTCCATTATGCAGGAGGGAAAAAGGGCTCGTATCGGTACATATTGTCGCCGTCGACAATATGCAAAAAAACAACAATATTTACCATCTCTAGATAATTAAATATGTAATATGTAAGTTAGCTCTTAATAGCAAGGCCAAATTCAAAATACTTATGTTAAATTTAGTTATATTGAATTAAGTTCATAGTATTCTTGAAAAGTAGGTCAAAGAGTACTTGGAATTTATTCCAAGATATTTACAAAACCAATCTTATCTTTCTTTTCTTTCATTTCATTATCTTATCTTCGTAGACTGACTCCAGAAGCTTCCAGAAGGCCAATGTTGTAAAAGCACAAAGTGAAGATAAAGGAATGATCGAGCACGAAGAAAGGGAAATAGACTATGCCAAGTGCAATGAGCACAAGGACAAGAAAAATGATCTTTTTTGTCAAACGTGTCAAAAAAGCGTCTGTGAAAGATGTGTATATTTAAACCATAAAACACACAAGCTTGTTGACCTTAAGGAGATAATCAATGAAAAAAAAAGACAATTTACATTAGAAACAGATGTCCTTAAGTTCCAAATTCAGTGGAAATATGAAGAGGAAATTTCAAGAATGGAGACAGAGTACAAAAATTTGAATGAAGTTTATTCCCAGATAAGAAAAGCAATCAAATCAACGGCCGAGGAATGGCATAAAGAGGTTGATAGAATTGCCAATACATTTCTCAGCAGTGTCGACAAGTTCGAGGGGATTCATAAAAATCGAATGTATGATGAGATAAAGAAACTTGAGAGCATTTTGAGTGAAATTAAAAAAATTGTTGAAGATAATGAGAAAACTTTAGCAACACCGTTGGAACTTGTTGAAAAGGAAATACCAAACGTAGAGACATTCAAAAAATTTCCACAGGTTTCTTATGTGAATCCACCGGTTTTCACCGTTGGAAGTCTTCAGGAAGTCATTGACTATCATATTCAACTTGACAAAATAAAGTTCAATTCTGAAAACTTACCGGTACCATATAACGCAGCAAACGGCAAGTCTTGTGTTTGTCTGGCTGAACTTAAAGTTCTGAACGAAAGGAGATACCCTGGATACGAAATACAAACAGGGATAACAAAGCGACCGAAATTTTCTAATCCCGCGATCAAAATTCCAAATCACAAATCTCTAAACGATATTCAAGCTTTATCAAAAGCAGAAGCTTTCGTTTCAGATTTAGGAGGACGCGTGTCTTTAATCGATAGGAAAGGAAATGTTCAGATGTCTCAAAAATTGGAGAGAATACATTTCTTATCGATAGGAAAAAATAATGATCTTTACTATACAGATTCAGATGAAAAAAGAATAGTAAAAATGAAGTTTGAGGGAACGGAGTCACATGGTTCAGACGAGACCGAAAGGAAAAAGGAAATGCTAACTACCTTTGAAGTGTCTACCGAAGATTGGGAACCAAAGGGATTAACAATAACAAGTTCAGGACATCTTTTGGTATGTCTTCAGAACGAAGAAAGTGGGAAAATCGTCAGATACAGCAAGAACTTAGAAGAATACGTTCCTAAGGATGAAAATCTAGAGTTTCAAATTGAAAAGCCTGAAAGAATTGTTGAGAACAAAAATGAAGATATCTGCTTGACAGATATGGGTAGTGAGAAGTCTGTGTATATTTTCCGTAAAAATGGAAAATTTCGCAACAAATATCAACCAAAAACGGCTGCTAATATTGTGGAAGGAATCTTCAAATGGCGAGATACTTCCTTTTCTCCGGAAGGAATTTGTACCGACCGAATGGGACACATTCTGATTTCTGACACACCTAACAAAGTTATTCATATTCTTAATCAGTGGGGAGAATTTCTTCAATATCTTCTCAGAGGCTATCTCTATCATCCAAGAGCTATGGTTGTGGATGAAAGTGGGGACTTATGGCTCCTCGAAGGAAAAGAGAAATTGAAAATTGTAAAGTATTTGAATGGATTTCTCTAATTCTATATCAAACAATGTGATTACATCGTACAAATAATATTGGCTGATTTCTGATTGTTATCTTAATATTTTATTCGAATATATTGTTTTAATTAGCTTACTTAGAGTGCAAAGGTAAAATTCAAATGAAAGTTTTAATAATTATTTCATTTTTCCCTTCTAAAATGTATGTCTATAGAAAGAACATGGAGTATTTATGCTTAATAACCATACATAAAACATGTTTTTCGAACGCTTCAACTCATAAACCTGCCTTTAGTAAGAAAGAATTTTCAAGAAAAAATGCTCTACAGCTTTTACATATAACAGAGAGACTCTAAGAAGCTTAATTCAATGTTCAGGTGGTGTAATGCAAAACAAGTGATTTCATTTTTTTTTTCACATAACATGTATACTGTACAGCAGGTTAAAATTGCGGTCGGAAAAGATCACGATTTGTTCAACTTGCAGCAAATCGCGGTCTTTTGAATTCGCGGAAAGGAAAAATTATACAAAAAACTTTTTCAACACTGCAAATATTTTCCTTGCGTATTGTGTTGATTCTGAACCCGATTAAATCGAACAGAACACTGTACTGATCCCGATTAGAAGATAAACTGTTGTACGATTTACAATGTTACGCATTCAGATAAATTTTCTTTCTTTCTCGTTTTCATGCTTTCTTTCTTTTTATTAAATATTTTTGAAATACATGTACATATGAGTCTATACTCGAGTGATTTATTCAAGTGATTTCAAGTAGTATCCCAAACATTCATGTAAAAAAAAAAGAAGCCCTTTGGCAGGTGTTCGTTCATATGTATGTTTTGAGTAGAGTACAGAGTAGTATTTACTGCAGTATATTGAAATCTCCCTGAATCTAAATAAGTTGTCAGTACCGGTAGTCAAAATGTTGAACTGTTAATAAAATTGAATTAATGTGTTGTGTTGTCTTTACTACGTAAGTGCCTTGATTAAATATAATAGGACTGAGTGATACGCATGGGTGAAATCTAATAATACATGTTTTATAATTACATCGCATCTCTACTGGGTAGCAGAATTAAATGTTAGTTATAGATGTTTATTTATCAATTAAGTTAAAAAAAACAACTACGTCTTAGTAATTGATCAGTACACCCGCATTATTAGGAAGACAGTCTACATCTCCGCTATATTAATTTCTGCTTTTATGTTTGCAAGGAAAAACAAATAGAGTTAACGAATCTAATCACAGTTATCGGTAATATTTCAATTTATCCTTATCAATTTTTGAGGAATTATTCACTGTATGTTGAATTCGCAGAATTTTTATTTCCGCGAATATAGCGAATATTAACTCCGCGAGTTAATTTCCTGCTGTACAGTAATCTGGTAATAATTTGCTCTTATTTGAGATAATTTTCCTTTGTACAAGTATTAGTCGGTAAAATTCTATATCCAAAGAAATTCACAAGGGTCATGTGGAATATTTTAGAGGAAAGTATCAATACTCATTATATAAATTAGATTTATTTATAACACCCGCATATGCATGTCTATGCATACTTATTTCTGAGATCATAAGTAGGGTCTAGTATCTTATGAAGTCAAGGGTAATCAGGATGATGAATTTTAATTAAAAGAACTGTCAGTAATAAATCACAATGACCTTGAGAGTTAACACACTTTGATATCAACTGAAAATACAATCATTATACTAGTACATGTATATATGCAAGTACATGCACAATCAAATTTAATGAAGACTGGTGAATATGGTGGGTCTAATAAGGTATTAATAAAGTTTTTCAGTTTTACTCGTTTAGAAAATTACTCAAAAAAATTAAAGTATCTCATAAAACTATTTAATCTTAAATGAAAAGTCTTTTTGGTATTGAGGTAACAACAAAACGCTGAAGCAGTCATAAGCTATAACACTATTTCTGGAATTAAAAAAAAATAAGAAGAGCCAGAGATTTATCTTAAAGGGCTTTCTGTTCATCTGATGTACTACATGTAATAATTCTGACCTCTACATAAAAATAACAGGTTAGAATACATGTTAATAGATGTACATTTTTACAAAAAGAAAAATCAACGTAGCATAAGACGGGAAAAATTGGATGTAGTTGACCTGAATTCAGTATAAAACATTAAAACACTGGGGTTACATGAGCTGTCTGTTATCAGTGTTCTTCTGATTGTATATTGATTAACAAAATGTGATATATTGAACGTTTTATCATCACTAACGATAAGATAATGATGTTAATTTGAACCCTGTACACATACAGTAGCAATCATTGTTAATGGTGAACGGAAAAAATATCAACTACGGGATTTCGATCATAGAAATACCAAGGCAACGATGGAATGAATCGTATCGGTCTGCAAATGAATATGAACATTACATTGAAGTGTAATGTTGATCAGAAAATGAGTTGATAACATATCATCTCATCCTAACATATAAAGTATTATTTGTAATATTTGTGCTACATTTTTTATAGACTTTTTTAAGACCATCGGGCGGGGCCAGAATAAAAAGATCAAGTTTTTACGTAGAAATTTCCAAGAATTTGTTTTTAAAAAATCCTCTAAAGCCATGATTAGTCGAAGAATATGGAAGCATGTTTATTTAGTGTAGATGTAAGCATGTTACAATCATGACACCCTCGGAGAGGGGAGGTTTGGACCTCTTATACATTTTCAATGATGAACTGAAATCTGTTGATCTCAAGTCATTTAAGAGCTCAGGCGAGCGATGTGGTCCAGGGGCTTCTTCTGTTATTAATATGTCGTTATTTTATTCTTCGACACAATTTGTAACATCTAGCAATGTTCTTGAACGGAAATTCTGAAATAAATCAACCAATTATTGTTTAAACTTGTCTTTTAATGAACATTATAAAAATTGTAATGATAAAATGTCTTATGTGAGCACATGCAACACGGGCCTAAAATTTGATAGGTCACAGCTCTTGTTATCTTCACATTTTTATTGAGGGTTTTTACCGACACGAAAGATAAAGAATGCGTTTATCTATTGATATCACTGCTTCACTCAATGACTGTCTGACTTATAAATGATGGTAAATTTATGAAACATTTAGGGAACCCCGTTTTTTCAACTGGCGTTCTAGTTTTATAAACATTATGAATTCTGTGGAAGATAACGCCAGGCAATGAGCCAAACACGAAAAAAGAAGACCTTGACACTTTGTCAGAATGGATTAAGAGCATCAGGTGGATGTTGAAATCTCGCATTAAGCGATTGAAGGGTTGTATGAAAACTATTTATCTTTCTCTCTTTTATAATTCAGAAGTGATTGATTGATTGACTGTAAGTTGCTTAATGTCCCATTCGAGAATTTTTCACTGATATAGAGACGTCACCATATACCGGTGAAGGGCTTCAAATTTTTACCTTTACTCGGCACTCGGGGCCATTGGGCAGTGAGGGATCTTTATCGTGCCAACGCCTGCCGTGGCACGGGGCCTCGGCTTTTAAGGTCTCATCCGAAGGACCCGCAACTTTCACTTCAAAGTGCCGAGCGCATGGCGAAGGAACGGTTGCTACCCATTTTTATCGACTTAGGTCAGTCACGGCCGAGATTCGAACTTACGACCTCTCGATCACGGAGCGATCGCTCTACCGAATGAGTTACCGTGAACGGTCAATTCAGAAGTGAAAAAGGAATTAGATAGATAAATTACACGATCAGTATGTACTGGTCCCAGCTGACAAAGCTGGCAACAACATAGTCTTTGTTTGTAAGGCTTGAATTGTATTTTAGAGGAACCAGGATTTAATTTTACGGGTGGAAATCCAACTTACACCCATAGCTCCCTTTCTAAGGAGGAAATTCTTCAAAATCATAATTATGTCCGTTTAAGATATTTTTTAAAAGATATTTTTAATATTCCCAACAATCAAAATGAATTTGAATTACCATACCTTTACTGGATTTCTAAACATTATAAAAATCCTTACAAACAAAGATACATAGCGAGTTCCAGTAAATGTCCTACCGAGCCTCTTTCATTTCTCCTCACTAAAATATTCACTGTAATGAAGGAGAAACTTTAGGAGTACTGTACAACAGTATACTCGAGAAGAGGTGTAAATCAGATGTGGATACTTAAAAACATTAAAGAATTTTTGGAAAATCTGAATCATAATTTTTTTTCTAAAATCCATACCAATTAAACGTACGGCTTTTCAACACTTTATACAACCATTCCCCACGATAAATTGAAGTCCAGGCTTTTTGACATCATAAATAGCTGCTTTTTCAATAAAAATGGAACTCGTAAATTTACTTATCTTGTCATTGGTCATTTACATAATTATTTTGTTAAAGACCACTCTGATTGTACACACCGGTACTCTGAAATTGATATTAAAAAGATGCTTGAGTTTCTGATTGACAATATCTATGTAGTATTTGGAGATCAGGTTTTCCAACAATCTGTTGGAATTTCCATGGGTACCAATTGCACCCCCTTATTAGCAGACCTGTTTTTGTATTCATATGAAGCAGAACTTATTCGAAAACTTATACACGAGAAGAAGAAAACACTTGCGGTGGCCTTCAGCTCGATATTTCGATATATCGACGACGTATTATCAACTAACAATAGTTACTTTCATTCATGTGTCGACTCGATATATCCCAGTGAACTTGAAATAAAAGATACCACAGATTCTGACACATCTGTCTCATATTTAGATATTTTACTAGGAAAAGACGTTAATGATAACCTAGAAACAAAGTTTTATGGTAAACGTGATGACTTTAACTCTTCAATCGTCAACTTTTCTTACTTCTGTAGCAAGATACCCTTATCACCTGCATATGGAGTTTATGTCTCTCAGTTGATTAGATACGCAAGAGCATGCTCTACGTATGAACAATTTCCAAAACGTGGTAAGCTATTGACAAACAAGCTGATGAAACAAGGATATCAACAGTCTTGATTGAAGTTATCATTTTGCAAGTTTTACGGTCGATGCAATGACCTTGCCAGCACATACA